GAAAGACCCAGAAATAGGCTGAAACGGAGTAGGGCCTGCAGGCCCTCGTTTTTCAGCTTTCAGGCTGACACGACCGGGGCCTGTAAGCCCTAGGTTTTAGGCTTTTAGGCTGAATGTCCGGGACGGGCCCTGCAGGGCCCGTGTGGCTGCGCAGTATGCCACAGGCAAGCTGCTTGATCTGCCACGTGGCAGATAAATGTCGTGTAGGTGCCACGACGGTTGTGTGGTCTATTCGGGGGAAGGTGGTAGGGCAGAATGGGTGGAGACGCAACACGAGGCACACAGCGGGACACAGTCTTCACCACCGTGGAACGCATGCACGGTCGTTGTAGTAGTGTGTCTGTCAGCTCGGTGTGGGCATCTATCCGATGACCATTCCGAATTGCCCCAATACACAGAACGAAAGGAGAGGGATATACTGACCAGGGATTCGGGGGAGGATTATAGTGGGGAGTCGGCGAAGAGGCAAGCTGCTTGATCTGCCACGTGGCAGATAAATGCCGGTTAGGTGCCACGATGGTTGTGTGGTCTATTCGGGGGAAGGTGGTAGGGGAGAATGGGTGGAGACGCAACACGAGGCACACGGTGGGACACAGTCTCCACCACCGTGGAACGCATGCACGGTCGTTGTAGCCGCACGTCGTTTTTTCCACCCCCCCTTTTTCTTTTTGTTCGCAGTTTGTGAAACGGTATTCACCAGTTCGCAGTAGCCGATGCAGATCCCAGGGCTCGATCCCTAGTCCCCACCTTACCTGTGTACAGTAGTTAACCCCTTCAACCCTGAAAAGTGCATTGGTTTTAGTTTTTAATGATTTGTTTTTTTTGCCCTGTTTTATTTTTGGTCAAGGTCTGTGTGTGTCAAGTTTGGTTTTTGTTGGGGTCTTGGAGTTGACTGTTTTGGCTAGCCCTGAAAATCCTGAAAATCCTGAAAACTGAAATGAGCGAATTTTGCATAAAAACACATTTTTACCTTGCAGTGGAGATCATACTGCAAGAGATTTGAGCAATAGTGAGATGACAAAATCCAAATCACATTCCCACATTGAAAGCATGGAGTCACATTGAGTCTGTACAGCAGCAATGCGCCAGTAATACACCAATAGAGAGTCTCAACACCGGACCAAATGTCAATGAAAGCTCGTACATGCAAAACATCACAATAGTATCCAGGTTCTCTCCCCAATGGCGCCCAGCGCCCAAATGCAGCCTACTCAACTACTCCTATACTACACATGCGATGCAACTCGTTRACGTCAGCAGCGCCCACAGTACTTGAAGATGATCACCACCACCAATACCAGGTACGTACTCCAACATCATCATCATCACCCTTCTTTCTCCTAATCCCTCTTCCACTCTCTACTTCAGTCCTGTGCCCATACACCAAGACCAACCCCATGCCCCCACTCACATCCAAGCCAGCCCGCTATGGAGGTCAGCTATGGCGCTGCCTGAAGCAGCGCCCTCTATGCACTACCGCACGTGCTTGCCCGGGGCTTACTAGCGCAGCGCAGCGCTCTACCAGCCAGCGCGTCGTCTAGCAGCGCTGCCGCACTTGCATGCTGCCCGAATCCCTTCGCCAGGCCCTGCCTCGTTCCTATATGCCAGACTGCTGGCCCTCTGGGCCTCGTCCGGTTGCTTCCGGAAGGCCCAGTAGGGCGCAGACCTAGACGTAGGCCCTGTGCCTTGAGGGTTGCACCCCAACTGTATCTGAATGCGGCTGTGAATCTCGTCCAGGGTCTGCATTCTTTCGAAATGTCCAGAAGGCCGTGAAAATGTCTTTGAGGCACGGCCTGAGTTCCTTTCAACCAACTGGCGTGTGGTAACTGTCTGAACCCCCAATATGAATTTGACAGATAAGGGCCTTTTGTAAAATGTTAGGCCCGCCTTCACTTAGGGCGGGCACAGACGCAAGTGGGGCCCCGTAGGCCTTCTGAGGAAACGGATCCTCGCATTCCCTCCTCCTTTACTTCGATAGTCCTCTGAGAAGTTCATTGATCTGCAGGCCCCTTTCCTTTCCGTTCTCTTTCGTAGCCTGCAATAACTTGAGGTGCTGTTCTCATGAGCTCTTCTCGTGTGAACCACCGATCTTCTTTTGGATCCAGATGATGCCTGAAACTCACCCGGTACTGCATTCTCGGTTTAGGAGGTCGGCCCATGCCTGATGGTCGAGGAACAGGCATGATGCGATGTTCCACAATCTGATCGATGTCGACCTCTCCGTCCATGGTTGGGGGCAGCATTGACCGTCTGGAGGGAAACTGTGCAGTTTCTGCAAAAGGTGCCAGTTTGGATGAGTGAAACACTAGGTGTGTGCGCAGGTGAGGTGGGACACGAACCACGTAAGAGGGTCCACCTTCCTGATCTCCTATGATATCTAAGACTTCCCAGGGACCAAAATACTGTGGCCTCAGTTTTCTAGAGATACCCAGTTCCTGTCCTAACTCAGATGCCTTCACCCAGACCCGTTCACCTACCTGAAAGTTAGCAGGTCGCCGGTGCTTGTTCTCAGAAGTGATCATAGCTTCTCGTGCTTTCTGTATATGTTCGGTGGCCTGCTGCAGCATCTTCTCGTAGTTAATAGCGTATTCAATGCTTCCAGGGACTGCAGTAATCTGCTGATCAGGTAGTAGGAAATCCAGTGCGGATCGTGGCTTCCAACCAAGATGTAGTTGGTTGGGAGTCATGCCTGTGGCGCTATGTACAGCATTATTGTACAGGCTGGCGACGAGAGGAAGTTTCTCGTCCCAGTCGTCCTGACTTGGCTTGATGTAGTGTCTTAGCAAATGCTGTACTATTCTATTCATCTGTTCCGCCTGTCCATTTGACTCAGGGTGATTCCCTGATGTCATTTGGAGTCTGGTTCCCATCTGTTGGGCTGTGCTCTGCCACAGCTCACTGGTGAATCTAACGTCCCTATCACTTACTATAGACTTGGGAAGTCCAAAATCCCTGACCCAGTTATCCATAAAGAGTTTGATGACTAAGTTGGTCTTAGCGGTCTCAGGCATAGCAATCAGTCTAGCGTACTTAGTGAAGCGGTCAACTATGACAAAGATGATGTCGTTTCCCTGACTTGCTGGTCACGAGGGTGTCCATGAAGTCCATAGACACACTCTGGCCGGGTCCTTCAGGAATCGGCAAGGGCTTGATAAGCCCAAGCGGAGCCTGAGTCTTGGGTTTGTCTCGTTGACAAACCTGGCAGGTCTCTACGTACTTTTTCGCGTCTTCCATCATGGATGGCCACCAAAACTTCTGCACTAAGTTAGCTGATGTCTTTCGGTACCCGAAATGACCGGTTGCATCATGACACTCTCCTAAGAATAAACTACGTAAAGACTCACTACTAGGTACACACAACCTTTTATTCCCTGCCTTGTCAAGAAACAGCAAGTCGTCTACCATTGTAAACTCATCCAAGGTTTTCTTGTCCTTGGGTTTGAATCTACGGATGATTTCCGACATTACGGGATCTTGAGCGTAGGCCTCCACCATTGATCGAGTCAAGTCATCAGATATGTCAAATTCAGTTACCAACGCGCCCAAGTAATCTGCCCTTCGTGACAGTGCGTCAGCCACTTTATTGTACTCTCCCTTGATGGGATCAAGTTGATAGTCGTACATGTCTATCACTTGGATCCAACGCTTGAGAGCGTCGGAGAGTACGGGCTGCGTCTTGATCCAGTGGAGAGTCTCATGGTCAGATCTCACATAGAAGAATCTGCCTAGGAGGTAGCGCCTCCAATGGACCAGCGCTCTATAGAGGGCGTAGAGCTCTTGCTCATATGTGGATCTCGCTAGCTTCTGAGATGGCATCTTTTTGCTCATATACTCGACCGGTCTCAACGTGTTCCCTTCCTTTTGCGCAAGGACCGCGTCAATGCCATATTGGCTGGCGTCGGTGGTCACAATAAACGGCTTGTCAGGATCGGGAAGTTTTAGTAATGCGTGAGGGCATACTTCAATCGTTTGAAGGCTGCCCCGCACTCCTCAGTCCATTCCCAAGGGGTGTCAAGTCGAGTTAGATCTGTTAATGGGGAAGCTATAGTACCATAGTTTTTAACGAACAGACGATAGTATCCCGTCATCCCCAAAAACGATCTGACCTCAGTCACTGTCCGAGGTCTGGGCCAGTCACGTATGCTGGCCACATTGGCATCATCAGGCCTCAACCCTTCCGAGGAGATTTCATGACCCAAGTACAAGATTCTGGTGTGACCAAACTCGCATTTCTCCAGATTGATCTTATACTGGTGCTGTCTTAGGAGATCTAGCACGGTTCATACGTGCTCCGCATGCTCCTCAACAGTCTTACTAAAGATAAGTATATCGTCTAGGTACACGACAATAAACTTATCTAAGTACTCATGAAAATCCGGTTTATCGCGTGCTGGAATGTACCAGGGGCATTGCATAGACCAAAAGGCATCACTACAAACTCGTACAGACCGTACCTGGTATGAAAAGCGGTTTTGTGTTGATCCTCAGGTCTAATCTCAATTTGATGGTATCCGGACTTCAGATCTATCTTTGTGAAGTATCGACATCCCTGCACTCTATCCAAGAGGTCGTCAATGCGGGGTAGGGGCTCCGCGTTCTTAACGGTGATGGCATTGAGGCCCGTATAATCAATGCACATCCTAAGGGTACCCCCCTTCTTTGGTACAAATAGCACTGGTGCGCCATAGGGGGATGTACTAGGCCGAATCCAGCCCTTCTCTGTGAGCTCTTTGAGCTGGCAGCGGAGCTCATCTAACTCCGCAGGAGACATCCTATAGATTCTTCCTCTAGGTACCTTACTACCTGGGATGACTTCTATAGCGTGGACAACCTCCCTTTCTACCAAGCCATTGGGCTCCTCAAAAAGGTCTGGATACTTTGCGACGACTGCTTCTATCTCTGGGGGTGATTTAACGGCCTCCCCTTTCTCAGAGATAAAGACTAGGTACATGCCCTCCTCCCGATTCTGCTTGTAGTAGTTATAGAAAGAGGTAGCGCACATACAGCCGTAGTTCTCCACTAGTCTGCTTGCCTTATGCTTTTGCAGTCTTACGGTCCTACCACTTGGCAATCTGTGCAACAACACCTTCCTATCCCAATCAAATTGTGGTTGCGCAGCCTCGAGATAGTACATGCCTAGTAGCATATCGAATGGCAGCTCATCGCTAACTAGGAATGAGATTTTGTGTCTCATCTCCCCTCCTGGGTAGGAGAATGTACAGACTAGGTCCTTGACATAGTCCTTTACTACCATTTTGTGCTTGTTGGCTAGCGTAGAAGCTACAGCCTTGCTAAGCCGCTGCACTTGGTCCTCTAAGCGCAAACTTTCCACACAAGCACGACTGATGAAATTCCGTGTAGAGCCTATGTCTACGAAGGCGCCAACTTTACGGCCACCTACATCTACTTCTACCACGAAATGTTCACCCCTAGGACCTCTACTAATCATCGCCCAAGAGTCTCGAGGGTCTGTCCCTGACCATTCCGCCTCTAACTCTCCTAAGGACTCAGACACATCTCTCGAACAGAGCATCGGTGGGTCTGAATGTGTCTGCAGGGCGATATCTGGGTCAATAGCCTGGGCCGTCGCCCGAAGGGGAGAAGGTAACGTACCCACTTCGGCGCRAGTAAGAGCGGCTAAAACTCCTACTGGCCTGAGGTGTTTCCCTGAGAGCTACTCGCAGACGTACTCCCAAGGTTCGAAGACAAGCCCACCACAGTTGGGTTGGCCACCTTCGCAGTAACCTTCTTGCCTCTACACGTTCTATTAGTGTGGCCAAARTTGCCACAGTTCATACACGTGCCTCGTGCCACTCGGTCCYTCCACACCTCATAATCTAAACCRAGTTTGACCCATGCAGGGGTCCCTTGGTCGCCTTGACCCGTGGACCGGCCTACCTTCTTCTTCCCGGTCCCCTTAGTCTTTTCCTTGATCGGGGCTACGACTCCCCCATCCGAAGTCTCACTAACCCCATCGTGCTCTGTGTCCTCCCCAAGATCTGGGAAGTCATCAATCTCAGTTGCTTGACCGTCATGGTCAACAAACATGAGTTGACCTTTCTTCTTCCAATCCTGGGGAAGTTTCTTTTTCCTACCATTTGTTGGCGTTTGCTGAGCAGATCCCAATTTAGCCTCTAAGTCTAAGGCCTTCTTGCTGAAAGAGGCAAAGTCATGTTGGTCTATGTAGGCCTCGTCCACCAGTTTGTTCTGGACGTCTGTAGGCAGACATCTCAGATAGTCTGTGAGGAGTACCTGGGGATTATTCTGCACGCCAGGTATCACAATCAGTTTCTCCACGAGGTCTGTAACTTCGCGAACATTCCTGTAGCGTTTAGTTGTCAGGTTGTTGATCGCGTATGTGGCCTTCTGAGCCCCTTGCGGGTCTCGCCACCTGTTGTGTACAGTCCGCACGAATTCTTCCAATGACAGAGACTGAGCCCAGCCATCGAAGTCCTGATTGTAGCCTGCTTGCTGTACTAATCCTCCTAACCACTTTGCTGCTGATCCCTCTAAAAAGGATGCAGCAACAATGACTTCCTCTTCCTTCCTTGTGAGCTTGTGCCGGACATATGTAGGCACCGTCCTCACCCACACGTCGATGTCCTCCTCCTTCTTCTTGTCGCCTGAGAAAGGCTTGGGACGCAACATGGGAATCTTTGGGATCCATTGCATTTGCTGGACTACAGGAACCTGCTGAGACACAGGCGGCTAAACACTAACCTGCGGTCCGGACAGTGGTACTGCAGTCACCACTGTCGTCGATGGTACAGAAGAAACTCTAGGAGCCTGACCACTAACTACTGGTACACCGCCTGTGGAGGGTATGCCAAACATTGGAGAAAAGAACTGCCCCGCGGGTGGCAGCGACACCGATGGTCCTGCACCTCGAGGTGGAGAAACAAAGGGTCGGGGTTGCTGAGGCCTCATACGAAGACCCCCCAAGGCATCCAGTATCTGCTGCTGGCCTGCCATCAGATCTTGCAACACATCCTGTTGAGATTGTTGCGCTTCTGCTACGTACAGCAGCGAGCAACGCAACGACTTCAAGGTAGGATCCCACTGTGCTTCATCCAATCCCTCTAGCTCACTTAACTCCCTAGCTCTAGTCTCTAGTCTGGTCTTTCTATCTCTAGCTCTTTGTCTTCTCTCCGCTGCATCTCTCAATTCATTCTCTAACCTCGTGGGAAGAGCGTCCGCTTCTCGGATCTCAAGATCCTCTGGTGAAAGTGGTTGTTGCGGGACGATCTGCTGTCCCACAGACGGGCTAACAAAACTCTGAGGACTACCCTGGGGTTGCCCTGACGAGGTGGCCTGACCTCCAGCAGCAGCTGGGGCAGACATTGCGACCTCTACGGCTGCACGGTCTCTAGCTTGTGCTATCTCCTGTGCAAATGCCGCACTAGCAGCTGCGTCTGCTGCCCTCCTCGCTGCCTGCCGTTCTCTGGCTTCCCTACGTTGCCTCCGTTCCTCCCCTGTGCCTAAGCTAATGAAGGTTAACGGTAGGCTGCGTGCAGTTCTCYGGGTTATCSTCAAGTGACTGACTAGCYGTTCCCCCTCCTCACCACTATCGGAACCACTCATGGGCTAAAGTGCATGAAGTCTGAACTAGGACCCACACTGAATCCTACCTCAACGGGTCATACAAATGTGTAAAATATTATTTATTTTATTTCTACAATAAGTATTGAGAGAACAGACCAAGCGGTAACCAAATAATCAGTGTCAGATCTTGCTGGCAACTCAATATCTAATTTTAACTATTCTAAAACAGATTTGCAATGCAGCAAGGATAATACTACCTATCTGCAGCTGTCTGTCAGTTGTTAGCAGATCCGTCAACAACTAAATAATCAAAATTAAAAATTAAATCAGCCAGTGAGAATGCTCGTTGGATGGAAACAGATACAGTAAATCCAACGGCGAAAAACTATTGCTGGAACCCACCCTCCCCCTTCATTCTTCTTGAGTCATCACTTTGTGTCAACGCCCTGAGCATCTGGTTGAACAGCGTGTCTAAAGGTGTGCAATCCGGTCCCACCCCTGTGCCACAGGTTATTGTCGAGCAAGGCAGCCACAACATTCTTATTTACCCTCGTACACCGACGAGCCTTACACTCGGTTGATCTGGCTGATCAGGAGGAATTTATAGAGCACCCCCATCCCTTCAGGAATTATTTAACGTCGCAGTCAGGACGACGATCACAGCCAGATTCAGATCCGAGTCCCCAACCAGAAATGTTTATAGACGGTCTGGTAAGCGTCTCAAGAGGCTGCCACACCCGAGTTAACCTCTATCATGCGCAAGCAGCAGAACCAAAGACTTGCAGCGAAGCATGCGTGTACTAGTCCCAGCGGGTTGGCATGGTGACCGTGACCCGAGTGCTTCGTCCAGGGCCCTTCAAGAGCATCACCCGTCTCCCACCAGCTTGCTGCCCAGGAAGAATGTCGACTCTCAAGGTTGAGCGCTCGCGACACCTCACATTGAGAGGACTCTCAAGACAGAACTCGCTTCCTCACGGTAAGAAGAGATAAGGAGGGTAGATAAAGTAAGGAGCAACATACCTCTTAATGCTGCCCCCAACCACAGATTATCTCACCAGCAATCTGACGGGTATTTCTGATGACCGGTCGTTGCCTCGGCACAACACACAACGCAGTTCAGTTCCACCTCGGCTATAAATAGCCACGTCAGCAGTTCTCATCAACCTCGTACATCCCCAATATCACCACATAGCATTACCGGCGCGCCCACCTCACTGGGCCGCCTACAACTCCCCTCGCCACCACCTTCCTTACTGCCCCACACAACAGCGGAGCACCAATCAGCGGCGCGAGAGGTGAATGAGCGCCAATCGAACCAGCTCGGATACCAAATTGCAAGAGATTTGAGCGATCGCAAGATGACAAAATCCAAATCACATTCCCACATTGAAAGCATGGAGTCACATTGAGTCTGTACAACAGCAATGCGCCAGTAATACACCAATAGAGAGTCTCAACACCGGACCAAATGTCAATGAAAGCTCGTACATGCAAAACATCACAATAGTATCCAGGTTCTCTCCCCAATGGCGCCCAGCGCCCAAATGCAGCCTACTCAACTACTCCTATACTACACATGCGATGCAACTCGTTAACGTCAGCAGCGCCCACAGTACTTGAAGATGATCACCACCACCAATACCAGGTACGTACTCCAACATCATCATCATCACCCTTCTTTCTCCTAATCCCTCTTCCACTCTCTACTTCAGTCCTGTGCCCATACACCAAGACCAACCCCATGCGCCCACTCACATCCAAGCCAGCCCGCTATGGAGGTCAGCTATGGCGCTGCCTGAAGCAGCGCCCTCTATGCACTACCGCACGTGCTTGCCCGGAGCTTACTAGCGCAGCGCAGCGCTCTACCAGCCAGCGCGTCGTCCAGCAGCGCTGCCGCACTTGCATGCTGCCCGAATCCCTTCGCCAGGCCCTGCCTCGTTCCTATATGCCAGACTGCTGGCCCGCTGGGCCTCGTCCGGTTGCTTCCGGAAGGCCCAGTAGGGCGCAGACCTAGACGTAGGCCCTGTGCCTTGAGGGTTGCACCCCAACTGTATCCGAATGAGGCTGCGAATCTCGTCCAGGGTCTGCATTCTTTCGAAATGTCCAGAAGGCCGCGAAAATGTCTTTGAGGCACGGCCTGAGTTCCTTTCAACCAACTGGCGCGTGGTAACTGTCTGAACCCCCAATATGAATTTGACAGATAAGGGCCTTTTGTAAAATGTTAGGCCCGCCTTCACTTAGGGCGGGCGCAGACGCAAGTGGGGCCCCGTAGGCCTTCTGAGGAAACGGATCCTCGCAACACTAACTACTTAAAAAAAAAGAAATCGAAAAAAAAACTTTACAAACCTATAAAACAGCAAGGCAAAAATGTGTTTTTATGCAAAATTCGCTCATTTCAGTTTTCAGGATTTTCAGGATTTTCAGGGCTAGCCATAACAGTCAACTCCAAGACCCCAACAAACACCAAACTTGACACACACAGACCTTGACCAAAAATCAAACAGGGCAAAAAAAACAAATCAGAAAAAACTAAAAAAATTGATCTCCAATGCACTTTTCAGGGTTGAAGGGGTTAACTACTGTACTTGTGTGTCTGAACAGAGTATCGTGCGTGGGATATCCAGGGTGATCCTGTGTCTGCGAACAGAGAGCTGTGTGGGCGCTGAGTCGCCATAGCCATTGAAGTGAACTTGTATCTGAACTGTGTTCTCGACTACCATATCCCTGAGTTTTGAGTGGGCGCTTGTCGCCAGTTTGCTGCACACCTGTTTGCATGCATATGACGTGTGAAAGATAGCGAGTTTGATTGCATTGGTACCAGAGCTGGTACCCGATATTCCACGCGTGTCGTCGTGTGCCGCAGGGAGAGCTACGCGCCATAGCCAACGTGGCTGTCGGAGAAGAAGTCCGCCATAGCGGACCCGGAGGTTGAAGAAGCCGCCGCGCACACATGCAAAGAAGACCACGACAAAGAGAGAGAGAGAGAGAGAGAGAGAGAGAGAGAGAGAGAGAGAGAGAGAGAGAGAGAGAGAGAGAGAGAGAGAGAGAGAGGTTGAGCGATACAAGATCGGATTACCACGTACCTGGGTTGAAGACATCGCTACGGCGAGAGAGAGAGAGAGAGAGGGAGAGGGAGAGATGAGCGATACAAGTTTGGTTGTCACATACCTGTGAAGTGTGCCGTGCAGTCCCACGAAGTGACTAGGCGGCCATAGCCGCGCGAGCTCGACCACAGAGTAACGAAGAGGGTGAAAGAGAGGACAGAGGAGGAGACCGAGAAGGGTGAAGGAAGCCATAGCCGAGGAGGTGAAAAGAGAGACGAACAAAAAAAAAGAAAAAAAAAAAAGAAAAGACAGACAGGGTGAAGAAGAAAGAGGCGAGGTGGAGAGAAGGAAGGAGAAGGGTGGTGAGGAAGGAGGAGCCGGACGCCATAGCTGGACTTGACCGAGCATTGACTGGAGTTGACTGGGAGTTGACCGGGGGTTGATTGCAGCATTGACCAAGCATTGACCAAGGCGTTGACCAAGACCGTTGACCAAGACCGTTCACCAAGACCGTTGACCAAGACCGTTGACCACGAATTTGACCAAGTTGGAGCCGGTATAATCTCGCCAAGCCTTCAGCCTATCCCCTCGCCCTATGGATGTGCACACACCCTGTGGTACTTGCTGAGTCAAGTCTGTCTGTCTCTGCTTTCTGCATTGAGTCTCTTCTGTCCAGGTGTTAGGAACTTTGTGAATGAAGGATAGGGCCTTGTTGACCAAACCCACACAGGCTGAGTAGGGCTAAAGACTGTGTCTGACGACTCGACTGTCCCGGAGGACACGAACCCTCCCAAGGACCGGTACTGACCAGCGGGCTGCTCGGTGTGGCACGGTAGGCCCAAAATCCGAGTTGTGGGCTGCACAACAGGCCGTCTAAGTCTTGAGAGGACCTGCTGATCGCGTCGTCCTGTCTGCGACGTTAAACAATTCCTGAGGAGTTACGGGGGATCTCCTTAAATGTTTCCTGATCAGCAACATGTCCTGTAGTGACAGCCTTAGAGTAGGTCTAGGCTAGAGACCCTAGTTGACAGGATCTTGTCCGGATTCGGTAAGTCCTTAGATCGAGTCAGTAGGTTTGTCAGTCAGGGGGAGTAGAGTCTAAGTCTAAGTGGCGAGGAGTGGAACCGTTGACCGGTTGTACACCAGGCACCATGGTTGACACCCGTAGTGGGAAGAGTACTGCCCTCCAATCCGAGGCCGAACAGGTCCGGATCGATGCCATACTGAGAGAGAGAAAAGAAAAGAAAGAGCTCCTCAAGCAAGCGAAGCTAAGGGCTATAGCAGAGGAGCAGGCGGCGAAGAAGAAGCAGTTAAAAGAAGAGATGTTGAGATTTCAGAAGGAGAAGATGATGATGTTATTACAGGAGGAGGAAGGGAAGAGGAAGGCTGTCGAGAAAGAAGCAGCAGCAGAAGAAGAGGAGGAGGTAGAAGAAAAGGACCCCTTGAAAGGAGGCGTGGGGAAGAAAGAGGGGAGACAAGTGGCACGAAGGGAGAAGACGCGTGGATGGAAAAGAAATAATTGAGTGGGTAGCTAAGGATGAGGAGGCACAGCTGTACGTGCCGCAGGAGGAGAGAGAAGCGTTTGCCAGGGAGTCGGAAACGATAGAAGATCCCCTGGAACGCCAGATAACAGAGGACAGGAAGAAGTTGGAGTGGAAGTTACGAATGATGAGGGAAAAGAAGAGAAGCAGGGAGGAAACCAATCGGGTGGCCAGAGAGGTGGAGAGAGTTCGCGCTTGCAGACAAGAGGTGCAAGCACAGGCAGAGGTCCCCGCGAAATTAGACAATTCCGGGGTACCTCGAGGTCCTGAGCGAGGCCTGGCTGGAGGAGCATCAGGCCAACAAGGGTCAAGATGTGACCCTTCATGCCATCCGATCTGGTTTTAGGGAGTTTCCGCGCGACGTGGTGACGTCGGGACCAAGGTTAAAAGACTGAAGGAAGCCGTAGATAAGTTATGCGCAGGCGCCATTGAAAGCGCCAAAGTGGTGGCCACGGCAGAGGCCGCAGCGCGTTCCCGCAAAGAGCCCGTGAAGCTCAAATTCCCTGTTGCCTATAGCGGGAAGAAGGACGATAGCTTTGACAACTGGGAGGCCAGTGTCAATACCTATGTGTATCTGCAGCATAGAGCAGGTCCTCGTCGCCTTCCATGCGTTAAAGGACGAAGCAGCCAGCTTCGCCAGGTCCCTTGCACGCACCGCCGATTGCGAGCACAACATGATTGCTTATTCTCGGCTCACTCCTCTCTCCATGATCCTGAAACTCCTGCGTGAGAGGTTCGCTGACGTCACGAGAGGCTTCAGGGCCTCTGACAAACTCCAGACCATCCACTCGCGACAGTGGAAGAGTGCGCGAGCACTCAAAGCTTTCATGGACGACTTAGTAGCCGTCCCGGACCATGGGGTCACTGAGACCCAGTTGGTCCAGTTGTTTTATCGTACCATGCCAGAGCCCTTGCGAAGGCACTTCTTTGACAAGACCCAACAGCCAAACATTACGTATGACGCGTTGAGTAGGGAGGTGGTCTTGTATGAGGCGAGGTCCATGCCAGTTACCACTTTCTGGCATAAGGACTTAGATAAAGGCAAAAAGTGGAAGGGTCGTACCATCTCTGGCCAAGTCAGGGCCAAGGATCACTTGATCCTTACTTTAGATGAGGGTGGTACAGACAAGGTCCCCTACCGTCAGATTGAGTGGGGACTCGAGGAGGAGGACAGTAGCGTAGGTCAGGGGAGGACCTATGCTGCTGTCGCGGTCGGAGGGAGGCCGCAAGGTAGGGAAGGAGGCCATGGCCAAAAGGGCCAGGCCACGGGAGGCCGAGGATCGGGCGCACAGGGGGTTGGCGGTCAAGGGAACCGTCAAGTGGGAGGTAGGGGTCAAGGTCCCCCGCCGAATCGTCAAGGTCCCAGTCGGTCCCCACAACGACGAGGTGGTAGGTCACCTCAAAGGTCAGGAGGTTGGCACCCAGGTTGGCCGCAAGGCCGGTCGTGGGAAGATCTGGGCCTGGACCAGAAAGTGTGGCAACAACGCATGGAGCAGGGGCAGTGCATTTACTGCAGTGACCCTGCCCATATTATCAAATGTTGTCCTAAGCATAGACAGGCCCGATGCGCTGCCCAGGAGTCAAAAGGCAGCCGCTGGTAGGAGTCGCAACTGCCCCTACTATTAGGCCATGTGGGAAAGCGAGAGCGCGCGTACAGGAAACTCCCACACCACATGTGCCTTCGGCAGAGGTTGCAGGTCCGTGCCTAGTTAGCTTTCCAAAGACTGCTTGTATTAGCGTCTCTCTAGGCACTTCCCTCACAGGCGTGGCAGAAGAGTTAAAGGAGAGGATGCCCGTCTGGGCCAAAATGAAGAAAGACAGTAAAGGACAACTAGTGTTAGTTGATGTGGAAGTTTTCAGGAGTAGAGTAGGGCCCCTTATAGACTCAGGGGCTACCCGCAATTATATTAGCCATAGAGCGCTGAAGAAGCTAAGGCTAGGATTGATGGTCCAAAAGTTGGAAGACCCCATAGTTAGTGTCCTCGCAGACAACCGCACTATGCGTGTTGAGGACGACGTAGAAGGAGTCCAGGCATATTTCCACCTAGAGAAAGATGGGAAGGTGGAAAAGGTTCTCCATTCCCTGACTCTCCTCGTACATGATGACCTTCCTTTCGACATAGTCCTAGGTATGGACTGGGGAGAGGCAGCAGGGGCCACACTCCACTTGAGAGAGCATGAGTGTAGGCTCCCTAGTCCGTCGGGCGAGGTCAAGATAGCCCGTTTGTTCCATGTGTCAGGACTAGGTAAGTCTCTGGCACATTGTTGCCTCAGTGCTCCCGCGTTCGCGCGATTAGTGAGAAAGGAGCAGTTAGAGGACCAGGTCTTTGTAGTATTTGTCAGACCTGTCACTGAGCCTAAGGAAGAGGATAGTTCCATGGATCCAACCATTGCCAAGCTACTGGAAGAGTTTAAAGATTTGGGAGAGCCGCCAACAGGAGTAGTGTCGCAGCCGATCCAGCACATAATAGAAATAGAGCCTGGCAGTAAAACTCCTAAGGGAGCAGTCTACAAGATGTCCCCTAGAGAGTTAGAGGAGTTGCGCAAGTAGTTGGACGAGCTCCTAGAGAAAGGTTGGATTAGGCCCAGTTCGTCTCCTTTTGGAGCACCAGTTTTATTTGTCCCCAAGAAGGAAGGAGACTTGCGTATGGGTATAGACTAAGGGGTCTGAATGCTATCATGGTTAAGAATGTTGAACCACTGCCCAGGATAGACGATCTCTTAGATCGGGTGCAGGGTTGCAAGTAGTTTTCAAAAATAGATTTAAAGTCCGGATATCATCAGATAGAGGCTATCCTGATGACCAATACAAGACTGCGTTCCGGACTAGTTATGGGCATTATGAGTTCATAGTGATGCCCTTTGGACTGACCAATGCGCCAGCTACGTTTCAGCGATGTATGAATGATCTGTTTAGGTCTTGGTTAGATAGATTCGTCGTAGTTTATTTAGACGATATCCTAGTGTTCAGTAGGACCCTCCAAGAGCGTCAGGGTCATTTGAGGCAGGTCTTGGAGAAGCTGAGAGAGGCCAGGTCTTGGAGAAGCTGAGAGAGGCTAACTTCAAGATCAATGCGAAAAAGTGCGAGTGGGCCAAGACCCAAGTCCTGTACTTGGGCCACGTGTTAGACGGAGATGGCATTAAGCCTGAGGACAGCAAGATAGCGGCGATTAGAGATTGGCCGACGCCCCACACGTTGATAGAGTTGCGGTCGTTCCTAGGCCTAGCTAACTACTATAGGAAGTTTGTGAGGAACTTCTCGACTATCGCCGCTCCCCTTCGCAGGTTGCTCAACAAAGAGGCAATCTGGCAGTGGGATAAGGACTGCACGTCTGCGCTAAAGAAGTTAAAGCGCGCGTTGATCGAGTACCCTGTCCTCAAAGTAGCAGATCCATCTTTGCCATTTGTCGTCACCACGGGCGCGAGTCAATATGGGATAGGCGCCGTGTTCCAGCAGGATGACGACAATGGTTATAGACCCGTAGAGCTCATGTCAGCAAGGATGCCCTCAGAGAAGTTTGCTACCTCGACGCATGAGAGAGAAATCTACGCTCTCAGGCAGGCCTTAGAGCACTGGAAGCATTACCTGCTTGGGAGGCACTTCAAGGTGTATTCAGACCATGAGACGCTTAGATGGATGAAGAAACAGGCCAAAATGACACCTAAGTTGATTAGGTGGGCCGCTGAGATAGATCAGTATGACTTCGAGCTCAGGCCTGTTAAAGGCAAGTAAAATGTAGTTGCGGATGCTCTGAGTAGGCGATCAGATTACTTTGGAGCTATAGTTCACTATCTGGATATAGGGAGTGACCTGAAGGAGAAAGTTAGATAGGCGTATGCACAAGACTCTATCTATAGCGACCTCCTCAAGAGAGTTAAGGAGGCCCCCGAAACCAAGCCATATTAGCGCACTACAGAGGGATGTTATTTGAGAAGACCAATGTAGTAGACCATTTGTGCATCCCTAACAGCGAGGAGATCCGTAGTTTGATCCTAGGGGAATGTCACGACACAGAGGGACACTTCGGTTGGCAAAGACTCTAGCCAATCTAATGCACGTGTATACATGGCCAGGAATGAAGAACGACTGCATAGAGTATGTCCGCAGTTGTAAAGTCTGCCAGAGAAACAAGAGCACTACGCGTGCCCCTCTAGGCCTTCTCAGACCCTTGCCTATTCCTGACCAGCCTGGAGACTCTGTGTCCATTGACTTTATGGATACTCAGGTCAAGAGTAGGCACGGCAAGAGCCAAGTAATGGTTATAGTCGATAGATTTAGCAAGAATGTTGTTTTTGTTCCTTTGCCTGCAGAGGCCCGTACATAGTTAGTGATTCATAAGTTTTTTTTATTTTTGGGTTAGTGAGCATGGAGTCCCGTTGTCTATAGTCAGCAATAGAGATAGTCGCTTCACTAGCCGGAACTGGCAGGAGCTGATGAAAGTCTATGGATCTAAGTTGTTGATGTCGTTTGGCCGCCATCCAGAGACTAACGGTCAGACTGAGCAGATGAACAAGATCTTGCAGCAAGTTCTGCGTATGTACATTAGACCCGACCAGATCAACTGGGACGAGATGTTACCCAAGGTAGCCAGTGCGTACAATAACAGCGTGCACTTGTCCACCTGTCGCACTCCCAATGAGTTGCACAAGTCCTTTAGACCGCGCAGACGGTTTGAAGGACTTAACCGGGATAAGATTCATAGGCTACCACCTGGTACTAGGGAGTTCGCGATACAGCACGAAAGAGAGATAGCCACTGTTGTTGAGAACCTCAGGAAGGCCCAGCACCGGATGATAGAACAGGCTAATAAGCACCGTCGCCCGTCACAGTTCCAAGTAAGCGACTTAGTCTGGGTCAAGTCCAAAGAGTTTGCTCCTGAGGAAAACATCTCGCAGAAGTTACTGCTTGCGTATAGAGGACCATGGCCAGTTCTAGAAGTTAAGGGTGGAGAGGATGGACCATCCTACACCATAGAGATCCCAACACACCTCCACACCTACCCTGTATTTCATGCATCAAAGTTGCTGCCGTGTGTTTCCATCTAGGAGATCTATGATCCCCCCAGACATGGATGGGAGATACAACATTGACGGCATTGTAGGTGAAGACGTGTTCAGAACAGGAGGTAGAGGCCGTCCGCAGAAGCAGTATAAGGTTCGGTTTGCTTATCAGGAACCGGAGGACGACCGCTGGTTTACTAGAGCAGAACTTCTAGAAACAACTCCCGACATAGTTAGAGCCTACGAGAGAGATAAGAAAGGTAGAGGTCCTGCCTTGGACTGAGTTATTCTCGGAGAACCTCAAATTTAGGCCGGTGGGAGTAAAACGGTATTCACCAGTTCGCAGTAGCCGATGCAGATCCCAGGGCTCGATCCCTAGTCCCCACCTTACTTGTGTACATTATTTATGTCGACCCCGAGAGTTGAACCCGTGACCTGTGTATTTGTAACAGTTGGTAGACTATCGTAGGGTCCATAGGTAGCAGGGGTCGAGCTGTAGACCTGTCGAGTTGGTGTCTTAGCCAGGTCTAGAAGTCGTACCTGCTATAGTCCAGAACGGTCAAGGTCGTAGCTGCTACAGTATCGAAAGGCCAAGTCTACGGCCTTCTGGAAGATCTGAGTAGTGGCCTTTCGAAGTTGCCCATGTTTAGGCTGAGGCAAGTGGGCAAGTGGTGGAGTCTGCCCGTGCTGAGTCAGCAGTCCCAATCCCAGTCAGTCCTAGTCCAGTCGAGCAAGTACCGCATGGGACTGTGTGCACTACGGGCATGGGAAAGGGCCAGACCAACGAGCTGCAGAGGTATAAATCGAGAGGCAGCGCCCAACCATTCATTCATTCCCCTGCGTGAGCCATGCGGAAGCGCTGCCACAACGACTTGTGCTAGGTGGTCTGCAGTGAGCCCGAAGACGAAGTGGGCGAGAGAGAAGGAGTGTAGCCATAGCGATAGGGTAGCAGCGGTCATAGCCGCCATAGCTGTAGATCGAGTTCAGCGTAAATGTGTGTGTGTGAACAAAGTATTGTGTGTGGGATATCCAGGGTGGTCCTGTGTGTGCGAACAGAGAGATGTGTGGGCGCTGAGTCGCCATAGCCATTGAAGTGAACTTGTATCTGAACTGTGTTCTCGACTACCATATCTCTGAGTTTTGAGTGGACGCTTGTCGCCAGTTTGCTGCGCACCTGTTTGCATGCATATGAAGTGTGAAAGATAGCGAGTCTGATTGCATTTGTATTTAGTACTGGTGATTAAGTGTTGGAATCACGAATTGGACTCGAATGGATATGCACTAACGATGACGGCGATGATCGTGCCCTGTATTTGCGGGAAGATAGTACGAGGGAGTAGGCGGAGAGGCAAGTTGCTCGATCTGCCTCGTGCCAGATAAATACCGTCTACGTTGGACGATGGTTTTGCGGTGTATTCAGAGGTGGATGATGGGGGAGAGTGGCTAGAGACACAACACCGCGTGTCCTTTTCTTTTTTCTTCCCTTCTGGAGAAGAGGGGAAGAGGGGAGGAGGATCGTCGCCCTCGTGGGTGAGAGGAGGAATTTGATGAAGGATGAAGCTGACGAGGAGAAGCAGATGTCACCGTCACCAAGAAGGAAGACTAGCCCGACTGATGATAAAATTTGGCGCGAAATGAGCATCAAGATGTGGCATAAAGTCGCAGCGAATCTTGCGCACGCTCACGAGTGTCACTGCAGGTGTATTCCGATGCACTAAAAGCCTAAGAAAAAGGCCACAGAGAATGAATGGAAAGCAAAAAGAAAAGAAAGAACAATCTGGCAAAAGCTAGCTTGAGTATGGTATCGCAGCTGTTGGTGATCCGCTCCACTACTACGAGCGATGGCGCTTTTTTTTTCTTTTTTTTTCCCCGTCTGTAACTCCCAACCACCATCTTCCGCCATGATGTTTTTTGAAGTCATTGGGTACTGGTGGTTTAAGCCGGGGAGGGGAAAGATTCGATCCTGATGCAACAATGGTGACCGTGCATTCTATTCGGAAGAAGAATGATGGTAGACAAGCGAGAAGCAAGAGGACAGCTCAAGAATGGTGTTCCCCATATTTGCCCGAGTTTACCCGACCACAACACCAAGGTTATATAGCTGTTGTGTCTAGACAAACTGTCATTCGATATACAATTATAAAAAAAAGAGTGACTATTTTATGTGCGTCAACAAGGAACGGGGGGCGTTCTGTTCGGGTGAATGCGGTAAAGACCGGGCGTTATATTCGTATGAAAAGCTTATAGCTGGACGACTATGGCTGCTTGCAGTGCTTGCAGCTTTCCGCCGAGATGATCGTTTGTGCAATTTTTTTTGTTCGTTGTACTGATTGGACAAGAATCGGATACACAACATACGTACAATTCTTTCAACTCTAAGGCCGAGGAGAAAAAACAAAAGAAAAAAATTCCATGCAATTCTCTCTTTCCCCCCCAACAAAAATCGCACATTATATTCGTATACCTGCATGGGTATGCCTGCTTGCGGTTTTCTGCTCACATGATCATTTGTGCATTTTTTTTCTGTTCGTGGTGATCATTGGAGAAGAGTCGGATACGGAACGTACATACAACTCTTTCAACTTTGAGAGCTAGAGGGGAAAAAAAATAAAAATAAAAAAATCCTTGCAATTCTCTCTTTCTCTCTCCCCCCCCAGTTGGAGGAAGGGGCAAGGCGGCAGGAGAGAGGAGGAGAAGGAGGATGTGCAGGGGGTTAACCCCGGAAGCGAAAAATGGGGTTCTTAGTAAACCGCTACCTTCTTCCCCGGAATACAACATACTACGGCCATTATAGCTGCATGTATTTGGGATATCTTTCGGTCTATGTACACCTACAATGACTGTGCGTTGTGTTCAGGGGAAGAAGGTGCTTGGTGCATCGAAAGGCAGAGAGGAGTGACGAAGACGACAACTATTCGTGAGTACATGGAAACCTGTCGTCTTCACCCGAATGAAACGCCCGGTCATTATGACTATATCTAAAGTGAAAGGTACAACAAATACGACTATAATTATTGGCCGTTCTGTTCGGGTGAAGACGGTCGCTGCATGGGTATATGATGAAGGAGGCGGACGGCGACTTTCCAGGAGTGCATATCTCGATCATCTGCGTAATTCCTCACACATGTTTTATTTTCCTTCTTTTTTCGTTTTCCCTTTTTTTCAAATAACTAAGCCTTGATGATTCTCATATCACATACAGTTGGTTTTCGGCATTATATGATTACAAATTTTGAATTTACGAAATTAATCAATTGCTCCAATCCTGGCAATTATTGGTGTCTGTGAATCATTGTGACTGTATCTACACTGAAACGTATACCAAATACGGCTATAATGACCGGCCATTCTGTTCAAGTAAAGACGGTGGCTGGATGGCTATACGACGGACGAGGCAGATGACAACTTTCCAGGACTGTATAGAAAGTTGGCTCGACCGTCTACATAATTTTGCACACATGTTTTATTTTCCTACTTTTTCCTCTTTTCCTTTTTTTCAAATAGCTAAGGCTTGATGATTCTCAGATCATATGCAGTTGGTTTTCAGAATTATATGCTTACAATTTTCGAATTTACAAAATTAATCGATTGCTCGAGTTCGACCAATTATAAGTGTGCGTGAATCGTTTTTCAAAAAACAAAATGAAGCACTTCTTTTTAATATTATCCAAATCAATGACCGCACGCTCCGGAAATCGAGGAGTGGTCCCTGATTCACCGACCGAAGA